CCCTCCAAAGCACGGCTGCTGCTTTCCTCGCCACGTGGCCGAGTTAGGCCTCTTTCCTCTCTGGGTCTCCGTCGCGGCGCCTTTCCACTTCAATTTTTAAACGATGCAATTGGTTTTGGTCACGCAACACGCTGAGCCGTGGTTTGCTGGCTGAGTTCGTACGGCGCTCGGGGTCGTACTCTAGCCGAGTGCCCAGCATGTGCGAATCCAGGTACAGTTGGTAGCGGAGCAGTAGGGTTCCTTTTCGATCCAGGAGAAGTAGTCCTTCGCATCAGTCATGTCTCCGACAGGGTCGTTTTAAATTGGTGCCACTTGAAACGGTTGCGCCGATGCCAGTATTATACTGGAGATAGGCAGGGGAAGAAAGATGGATGGCCACGTGCTTCCCTAGGTAGGGCGTGATGCATCTTGCAAACTGTAGATGGCAACGTCGTTTTCGTGGCCTACAGGCAGAATAAAACGACATTCGCTGCTGCTGTTGTACCTGTAAATCCTAAATTGGTGGCTGTACTAAATAAGTCCTGGCATTGCGGTGGAAGATTAGCTGCCCCACGTGTTGCAGCTTTGTCTAGACTGTACACTTGGGAAAACACTTCCGTAGGACATTTTTTATAGGTAAATGTAATAATTACATAAATCTTGTATTTTGATCTGAAGTGGGATTATATTTAAGTTTTTATAATTACATGGTCACAACATATTGCTTCTGCAGGCTGTGAACTGAAGGGAGATAAGCCATATCACTTTAAGGTGAATGATGAAGAAAACGAACATCAACTTTCTCTAAGAACGGTAGGTTTTTTCCTTTTCTTGGGAATTTGAAATCTTGAGTTAAGTACTGAGTGTGCAGATTAAATAAAAGGACACTTCATTTTTCAATTGTGGTGAAGACACTAATTTTAATTGACAGTTGTAGACTACAGCTGCTGTTTGGACATGGTTTATGGTTGTTTAAAATGCTTTTAATCATTAATCACCATCATGCAAGGCATCCTCAGATGTACATAACAAAATCCCCGTTATATGCAGTATACAATGCAGTAATGTTCAGTTGCTGAATATGCAAGCTGGTTATGGTAGCGTGTGCTCAGTTGTTACATTTAATTCTGTCTGGATAGGTAATAAAACAACGGTACATTTTTTAGTACTGATTGCTGTTGGCGGAGGTACTTGGGAGATAAAGAAAACGTCTTCTAAAACATTGTACTTTGCAATGCAGGTTAGTTTAGGAACTGGCGCTAAAGATGAATTACATGTTGTTGAAGCAGAAGCATTGGACTATGAAGGCAACCAGATAAAAGTCACACTGGCATCCTTGAAGATGTCAGTTCAGCCTACGGTAAGAATATTTCTTGTCCAGTAAAATGAGTAGAAAGAATTGCAAGCGTAAATTGCCATTTCTGGCACTGGTTGCACTCTAGCATTATGAGAATTTTGAACTGTTTTAAATACATTGCTTTCTCCACATTATGGGAACTCTGACTGGGTAACAAGAATTGAATTCCAGTGTATGTTTACACTCACGTATTGTTTTTCAATAAAGTTCTAAAAATGCATCTTTATAAATAACATAAGTAATAGATGACATAATAAAAATGCATCTTTATAAATATGTTCCAATTATTTATTGTTTTGGCAGTTGTGGATCCTAGAAGAAAATCCCTTATCTTACCCTTAACTGCCCCATAATCTGATTCTGGCTATTTTGGCTCCAGTAATAGCTTGTTACTGCGACCACTTGTCCCACTGAGGTCACACAGTAGAATGTCTAGGTCAGAGCTTCCACAGAGGAAGGAAGATGGATAGAATTAACCTTGTCCTCTGATTATGTCAGCTGACTTGCTCTACCCTTGGTGGTCTTGGTGTTACTTGCTCTACCCTTGATGGTCTTGGTGTTCTCAACTGGATTCATTATATCAGCACACAGCTGCCAATTATCCTACTTTGGAGGATTATGTGATGTCTGCTGTTCCCCAAATAAGAGGGCAAGAAATGAGATTAGGGGGAGGAAAATCCCCAATTTGTACTTTATAACAAAATAGGCTGCCTTGAAATGCACCCCAGAAGTTATACA